CCTGAGCGTTGGTAACCAGGGGCTCCCCTGAGTTTGGCATTTCCATAGCTGCAGCTGTGGTTGATGGTCCCTAGACTCTGACAGGAGCCAGGCGCGCTCAGGTTGGTCAAGAGAGATTTCTCCACAGGGTGACAGAGGACAACAGTGATTATTCATCATGCCGATCCTGGGACAGGAGGTTGGCTTGAAAACTAGACTGAAAATGGGTCAAGAAGGCAGGTGCCCAGTGACCTCGTGGTCTCCCTGTGGCGAGGGGCGTCGGGGTTGCCTCTCGAGAAATGGATGTGACGGCGGTTTCCTCGGTTGGCCACGCCCACAGAGTTTTAAGAAAGCAAAGTGTGTAGCAGTGAAACCCCCAGATGAGGACAGACTGCAGAGTTCCCGGGGCAGAAAACCATTGCCAGGTATTTTATTCAGTGTGTTCATGATCAAGTCGTCTCCGTAAGGCATGGGTACCCCTTAGAGTGTCTGCAGTGTTCAGGGCTGTTCCCTGTGAGTAGAAGTGTGGGGTAGACACCAAGGAATGGGGCGCAGTGTGGGCTCCAGGGGATCTCTCACCGCCGCAGAGAGTCCTGGAAGGGTGGCCTCAGGACCACCCCAGTTCCTGGCCCTGAAGGCCAAGCCCAGATCCTCCCTTAACAATATATTAGCCTTGACCTTCTCGAAGCTGATAACAAAATATTGTGGCACAGTTTTATGAGATCACAGTTTTGTGAGGCTCTGTCCCTGGCCAAGCCACTGTAGAAGCTTTAGCCCAGGGGTGTCCAGCCTTTTGGCGTCCCTGGGCCACATCAGAAGAAGAAGAAACTCTTGGGCCACACATAGAATACACTAACACTAATAGCTGACGAGTGAAGAAAAAGGTCCTGTGCATCACGTTTTTGGTATTTGCCACCACAGATGAGCAAAACCATTGTTGCATTGAAAGGGCTGGACATGGCTCCTTCAGCTCCTGACAGCCTTTCGCCTTAGCGACTGGAGCAGCTACAGCATGTTAGGTGATTTATCAAACATCTGCTGCTGGCAGGTAACTGGAGGTGAAATTTCTCTCTACAGACACTCAGGGTGGAATTGGAGCAGAATCCAGGTGGAAGATGAGGTCACTGGTGGCTTCTCCAGGTAGAAGAGCAGGTCACTGGTGGCACTCCCAGGTGGAAGGCCAGATCACTGGTCACTTCTCCAGGTGGAAGGCCAGATCACTGGTCACTTCTCCTGGTGGAAGGCCAGATCACTGGTGGCTTCCCATGGCTTCTGCCCCCTTTCATTCTTTCTGCTCTGACTTCACTATCTAATTCTGAGTCCACGTGGGTGCTGTCACAGCAGTTCTAGGAGTTGGCACGAGAGAAAAATGATCCCTTTGCACTCAATGCTGGGTGTCTTTCCCCAGAACAGCAGTAAGCAGGAACGGACTACTCTCATATCATATAACTTAGAACCTGGGTTGCTAGGGACAGAAAAGTGCATTTTTTTTTTTCTCTGTACTGATTCCTTGTGACTTCTGCTTACCTGTAAACTTGGTGAGGGACTCACTGTTCACGCACCCAGAGCTGACTGGGAGGAGTGCCTGAAAGAGAACTCTGCAGTTGCTCAGGAACTCGGGAAGAGCTAACATATTTAGACGATTAAAGGAAATAGGGCTTTTTGACTCCTTGAAGGATTAATTTCATTATGTAGTTTTCATATAAGGTGTTTTCTCTAAGAAAGTGCAACCAGGAGATACACTGGTCCCCCTTGCCAGTGGGTGATATGATTGAAGACCCCAGTGGGTGCCTGAAACTGCAGATAGTACCAAATCCTATATATACTGTGTTTTTTCTTGTACATACATACCTATGATAAAGTTTAATTTAGAAATTAGGCTCAGTAAGAGACTTCTGAACAGCAGTAACTAATAGAATAATTATTGTAATAATATACTGTAGGAAAAGTTACATAAATGTGGTCTCTCTGTCTAAAAATATCACCCTTCCTCATCTTGTGAGGACGTGAGATGACGCAGTGCCCTGTGGTGAGAGGCGAGAGGTGAGTGATGTAAGTTAGGCCACTGTGGCCTCTGACATACACCAGAAGAGGACCGGCTGCTTGGGTGACCTGGGCCATCGAGCCATGAGGATGTCAGTGGCTGCAGGTCAGGAGCAGACGGTGTGGATGACTGACAGGCAGGCAGGGTGACAATGCGGAGATGCTGGACAGAGGACTGGTTCAGGTTCTGGGCAGGCGGAGCGGGACAGGCGAGTTCTTCCCCTTCCTCTGCCCCCCACCGAGCTTCTGGGGTGGCCACCGAGCGAGTCTTGGCACTGGAGGGCAGTGCTGGCTGGGTGGCTCGTCTGAGAATGTTCCTTCTGGTAACTCGGATGCTTTCTTCCCAAGATCGTCCTTCTGAGAAGCTCCAAGCACCCATTAGAAGACGTTCCCCCGGTGATGGTTAAGGCGGAGCAGCGGGAGAGCCAGTGTTGTTTTGGCTCAAGTCAGCTGGACAGTTTCTGTTATTTGTTTTGGCTTCCTGGTCCATGTGAGGGGTTGGCAGGGGGGGCCTGAGAATCGCCTTGTTTTTGCTTTGCTGTAACTGAGGAAAGGATTAAGGAGCCATCTGTGGCACATGGTTGTTGCCATAAAAAAAAAAAACTACACTTTTCCAATAGCGTTAAGTTCGCTTCTGTTCACGTCTTTCATAGGGCAGGTGTGTCATGCCCACAAGCGATTGGACCTGTGGGAGTTCTGTTGTGGGTGGTTCCCGGAACTACGGGCGGGCGATTTCACCCAAGGCTCCCTCTGCTTTGTGTCTTGTAGAATGTCGTTCTCTCAGGAGGCTCCACCATGTTCAGGGATTTCGGACGCCGACTACAGAGGGATTTGAAGAGAGTGGTGGATGCTAGGCTGAGGCTCAGCGAGGAGCTCAGCGGCGGGAGGATCAAGGTAGGAGCCAGGGGCCTCCACGTGGTGCCTGGGGCTTCTGCGCCAGGCCTGACTCGGGCCCTCCTGACACAGAGCCGAAGGAGCTTGTCTGGGCCGCGTGAAATCAAAACAAGTGTGCCTCGCTTTCTGAGCTGCGTTTTGACATGACCGCGGAGGTTTGCTGCCTGAGGTCCTTCCAGGCTGGTGGTTCAGACCGATGGTCCTGACGACACAGCAATGGCAGCTTCACACTCTCCCTGACCATACCTGCCGGCAGTTTCCTTTTGTGTCGTAGAGATCAGGCATGGGGTGTAATGACCAGTGTCCCAAGGAGATGGGACTGATGTACGGTGAGGATCTCTCATTTCCTTCGGAAACGTTCTCGTTAAATGAAAATAACTAACGTTAGCAGGGAGTTACAAGGCGTTTCTCCAAGATAGTAGTTCTTAAGTAGCTGGTGATCACTGTGGGCTTCTAACCAAGAGTGGGCTTCGATAGCGGCAGTGGGCGCAAGGAAGAGCGCGCACGAGTCCACTGTTGGAAAAGCACAGTTTCCTTTTCTTTTCTTTTTTTTTTTTGGAGACAGAGTCTCACTCTGCCGCCCAGGCTGGAGTGCAGTGTCGAGATCTCGGCCCACCGCAAGCTCCGCCTC